TTAATCTGCACTAAATTTTCATTTATTTTAGCTTTCTGTGATGGAATTCAATTATTGTAATCCTTCCCAAATTAATAAGAACTCAAAAGTAGAACTTCTAACATCAGAGCTGAGTTTGTGGCTTTTAAATACTTCTATATAGATTATTCCAAGTAATAGAGATGTCTTAAAGAAATATAGACAAAGATGGAACAAGTCCTATGGAGAAAAGAAAATCCACCTGCAATCAAAATTGTTAATAAATTTTGAAGGTCCCTGAAGTCATAACGTCTATTAAACAGCTACCTTCAATCAAAGACAGGGAATGATAACACGACATTTCTCAGAACAAGGAGGAAGATAAGTAGTATGAATTTGGATTCAGTATTAGTCTTTAACAAGTATTTGTATCACAAAGCAAATGCAACAGCCTTTGGCCCCAGTCTTCCAAACAATGCTATCCATGTTTAACTTTCATATTTGACAAGAGGAATGCCCGGAGCTTAACACCAGCTAAATCCTATCATGCTTTCACACTCTGCATCAGTTCAGGAGGTATTCCAGTAACATGGAGGTCTGAAATGTCAAACAAGATCTTTCAGCAATTATTTTGAAAAGAAAAGGGAAAAGGGACCTAAAGTGCTTCTTCAAATTAGATGGAGAGGAAAATAAAATAAAATAAAATACATTTTTAAAAGCATATAAGCAACAAAGATTTATCCTAAGTGAGAAATTAATTGCTTTGCCTTTATTTTAAGCAGCATTCTGGTTTCAGGATCTTCATCTATATGACCTAACAGTACACTACAATGAAAGCAGTTCAATGATGCTGAGGATATGATATTCATATTACATGGGTTTTGGAGGTTTTATTTTTTACTGCATGAAATCTTTGCTGTAGTAGCCATTTTTAACAACAATTTCACTATTTTGGCCATCTTCAGCAGCAAATGTGTTTGGATCTAGTTACAGCTAGATTATCTAGTATAACTGAAAAAGAGAGAACACTTAGCTAACAGAAATGGACAGAAATCTTACAAAAGATCTTCCTCAGATTTCAAATGGAAACAACTGACTTATTCTTAATATCACTGCCAAATTTAAGTCACAAACTTCCTAAGACTTAACATCTCTAAGGCATTTTGAGTGATTTCTTGATATAAACCGTCATCTTGGCACAAAAGTATCTTTATGATATATGTGGATTCTCTAATGTTTGTCATATGAAGTAACATCTGGTTAGCAATTATAAACATCAGACGAGTCACATGTAAACAACTGCTTCATTTCCTTTTTTTTTCAGAATATCAATACAACAGTTGGAATAATTTGTGCTTGCAGAACAGTCAAAAAACTCCACCAAATCCAGTACATAATCACCAAATATGTAACATGCTGTACCAAAAATCTCACTGTTGTGAAATAAAAATCAAGTGGAAACAAAGAAAAGGGACAATTAAAAAGCAATGAATAATTCTCTTCCGCTGAGTAAGTGAAGTGAAATGGACCTGACTTACAGTTCCTGAGAGAAAGTGACGAGAAACCAAGTTGTGAGTATACACATTTGTAAGCTCAACTTCTACCAGTTAGGAAGCTGCTGTGCTTTGGGGTAAAACTGAGCCCCAGAAATGAAACTACAATCCTCTGTGTACTTCTGGGAAGATATGAATGAATTTAGGATGCTAAATATGTAGATAGAGACAAGGATAACAGGTATCCACATTTGAAAATTTGTCCTGTTAGTGCCCATCAATTTGGAATTCATGGGTGGAAGGGAAAGCAAAGCCTTTTATCTCTCTCTCTGATTCTGAAGGCTCCTGTATTTGTCATTATTCAGGAGGAGAAAGAGCGAAAAAGGTCCTTGGAATGTCATAGAAACTGCTCCAGGTAAAAAAGAATGAGAGGAGAAAATTATTGCAGAAAAAACTGCCACAGATGTACAATGGAATCCATCATCCATAAGAAGAGAGACAAGACACTGAGGATAGTGCAAGGACCTGGCAACTTTCAAAATACCAGTATCAAAACACTTTTGCTTCCCTTTAATTCCTAAGCATCTCTTTATGATTTTCAGTACTTAAAAAAAAAAAAAAAGAAAAAAAAACCCCACATTTATTTATGTATATATGTATGTATGTATGTATGTATGTATGTATGTATTTATCTATTTATTTATTTATTTACTTACTTACTTACTTATTTATTTCTTTTTGGACAGAAGATAAACAAATAACATATCTGCATGAGTTGGAACAATGAAAGTAAAACAATAATAGTAGTATTCTTCAGATATACTATCACACGCCCTGATTTCCCTGATGTAATTATATAAAAATGTATAAAAAAATACTTCTCTGATGCAATTATATAAAAAGTATTAAAAAATACTTCCTTTTTTTTTTTTTTTAATATTAGATTGCATTGCATTTGTTTTTATTGAACTCACGCAAGCAACAATCTTTCACTTACTTGTCAGATTCTATCCCTACCTATTTTACCTATTCTATATTCATCTTATTCAAGCAAAGAGCTTTCACTTCTCTTGTCAGCTTCTATTGAATTTTTAATATTGATCTTTTAAAAGGAACAGCTTCCCACTTCCTTATCATTTTCAGATGTATCATCCTCACTTTTGTATTGACATCATAATTTCAATGCTCCTCTCCCTTTTTTCAAATTACAGCATTTCTACAGCTAAAAACATTTAAAACACTTGATTTCAACCTTCTCATTAACTACTGTGCATAATCCTAAAACTCAGTCTTGACTTTGGTCAGAGAATACTAAAATCCTAAATTCCCAGCAAACTTGAATCATATCCTTCAATTCTTACAACAAAAATTGACAGTCTTCAAATCAACCTGTGTATTAAGAGTAAAGAAAAATGAAAGCTTCAGAGTTGTATGGCTGAGTTTATGTGTGTGCAATCAGACTGAATTTTGATACAAATAGGTTAATTATTTTGATTTATCTATTAATATAGATAAATATATGCATTGTATAATAAATACATATATATATATTAATATATATTATCTCTGTATTACCTATATATATCTATATACTATCTATAGATAATGTATATATAATATATTCTATGTATTATATAATCTATGCTTTATTATATTTATCATGTAATTATTTATATATAAGTATACAATTCTAGTCATTATGTTTAATTATAATATAAATCATCTATAAATATACATATATATTATATGTATATTGTATATTATTTATAATATATGGAGTATATATTATATAGATAATGTATACAATAATATATAAAACATATTGGCTATAGATTATGTATATATTCTATATATTATCTATGGATATAGATATATTTATAATATATCATATACAGATGGAAATATATATATATCTGTGATTATATCTATTCATACATACATACATATGTATATACATTCCACAAAGTAATAGAAATAGCAGATTGCAAATATCAAGTTTGTAGAAGTGAATTAAAAGAAAGGGAATACTTTGATAAATGTGGAATACTAAAGGAATAAGCAGCTCCTTTAAGTTATGTGAAGTCTTACAACTGTAGAACATTAGGGAGAAATTCATTTTTAAGAACAGCACACATTTCTGCCAAAAATCAGTATCTTGCTGATGGCCAAATGCCCTCCTTTAAGTGCAGACTATCTATACAAATAAAATTAATCAAACAATAAAACTTCACAATTACTTTAATTGATATTTCATCCAGCTAATGTATTCTAGACAGTGGAAAGTAATTAATCACAGTGACACAATGTTAGAAATGACTTCCTGGGCAATACCAGAAACATTTACCAGAAAATATGGCACAGACCTAAAACCCATTAAAAATATTTGTTTAATGGTAAAGCCATAGAAGCTATCTAGCTAATTTTCAAAGGATAGTCTATCAATGCAATCCTTATAGTTGATGACATACTTACAGATTTATTTCCAAATGTTCTTGTCCATATTAGTACGTTATGAAATGAAATACTCAAGCAAACATTCTTCATTGTTAATTTGACAGCACAGTTCATTTTGCTATTGGCATAATAGCAAGAACTGGTTCAAAACCTCCTAAGTATCCATCTCTTTGTAGATCTTAGGCTACGCAATGGCATCTCAAATTGACATTATTCTATAATGCAGGGATCATGTACAGATACACAGGTTCTAAATCCTGCACCTGCACAGAAATATCAGAAGCAAAATTTTTTACCACTGAAGCATAAACATGAAGCCATTTCAATCAACATTCTTTCAGAATACATTCAGAGATTTATTAAAAGTATAAAAAAGAAACAAAGACATAAATGAAGGAAAAAAAGGAAAAGGACAAGATGATCAAGACATGGTCAAAGGGAACCTCAAGATGATGCATTTCTGGTAAGAAAAAAAAAAAAAAAGTGCTGAACAGACTACAGTAAGAATGTTCAGATGCTTTTGCTCTAAATGGAAGACTTGTTTGAAGGTTTATTACACAGATGTGCTGTAATAGCAAGCACTTTGTATGATTAGACAGATCCTTCTATAGTGAAATCTGAAAGCATTAATTTCTATACTAAAGATAGCAGTGATGAAGGCTTTTTTGGCCCAATTTTCCACTTAGCCTTGGTGAACAATGTTATTTATAAAAAAATACCTGCCATTACTGTTGAATATGCAGTAAGGAATAAAAGGCAATTTCTTCTCTTTCATAAAGTTAAATTACTGTTGCTTCTAAGTCACCACATTTCCAGTTACTGTAAGTGAAATTTTCTTTCTTCATAAGTGATCTATGTACATCTATAGAAAATGGAAAGCATGGTATAATCTCTTGGAATGACTGCATATATTAGCAGTGGACAGCATGAGATAGTTTAATGAAAATCGTAAGTGTTTCAACCACTTTAAATTCAAAAGCAGACAGCTGATGTGCAATTTGTAAAGATAGTGAGATCTCTTCTATGTGTTTTTTCCTACTCCTGTCTATGTTACTAGCAGCTGTCACTTATAATAGTTTTGTTAGACCTGAAATATATGACAGAAACAATGGAGAGACCAAAGAAGGAATTTTGCAGTATATGTGCTTCTGAAATTTGTTTCTGATAGAAATAATACATGTGTTACCACTATGGACATGTATATGCAGAAGGCACCCAGTGAGAACTCCTGGCTGAGAAAAAATAAAGACTGGAAGTATCAACGAGAATAGCAACTAATGTCAGGCAGAAATCTGAGGGGATAATGGAAGGTAGAAAGAACGATTCTGGATGTAAAACTTCTTGTTCCAGAGCAGCTAAATCAAAGACATGAATGATGCATGGGCAATCAGTGGATGAAGGTGACTGGGAAAAAAAAAAACAAAAACAAAAAGAAACAAAAAACAAAAAAAAAAGAAAAAAGAAAAAAAAAACAAGGCAGGGAAAGACTAGCTAGTGAAAAAGCTGCAGTATAAATTTTATGTCTTCAAAGCTATGAAGGAAAAACAAGCCATGGCAAATAATGGAAACAAAAGTGAAACTGGCTGCCAATTCAAAAGGTGAAGCTGATACTATAATTCCTCAGAGACTGCCTAAGACAATATTTTTTTTCAATATTTGAGAGAGATGTCAGGATGATGCACATTTAGTTGAAAGAGTGGGAGACAGAAGACCAGAAAATCACACTAGCACAACAAGAAGCCTTTAGGAAAACAGTAGTAAGGAAAACAAACAAGCCTATTATAGTAAAGTAGCAGAAATCAGGCAGGTATTGTCTCCTGGGAACCAAAATATAGTGTTGAAGAAGATTCCAAAGGCAGAAAGGGAGAGGCTACTCTTTGTTTTTCATATAAATCAGCTTGGATCTCCTGCTCACAGATCAAATGAGTGTTCAAGTAATAAAGCAGTTTAAAGAAGTGGAAGCACAAGTAATCCTCAGAAAGGAATCTTCTTGTCCATAGCAAATAAAAATGGCCCAGAAAACTGTCACTGAATTTTTGTGATGTCTGAGCACAGTAAACATTGAAAGTATATGCATGATAGTGCACTTGAGTAAAGAGTTCAGGAGTTTCCACAGAAATAATGTGGAAAGTAAGATCAAGGTTGTTGTAAGTTTTCATCTAGAAGGGAGAAGACGCAAAACCACTTGTACTACAACAATGCTTCATGTAAAAATACAAACAAATAAAGGAGAGAAACACTGCAATGTTCAAGAGAAACACCTTGAAGTACCAACCAGGACATTGGCATCTATACATCAGTTCTGCTAAGGGATAAAAATTTAAATCTGTGTCATAATTGCAGTATTTGGAACAAATCCTGGATGAATTAAACCATCTGGTAAAAAAGAAGGATGTGTCCTGGTTTTGGCTGGGATAGTTAATTTTCTTCCTAGAAACTGGTATGGTGCTGTGTTTTGAATTGCAGACGAGAATAATGTTGATAACAAACCAATCTTTTAGTTATTTCTGAGCAGTGCTCACACAGAGCCAAGGACGTTTCAGCTTCATATTCTGTCCTGCCAGCAAGGGAACCAGGGATGCATGAGGAGGTGGAAGGAGACAGGACCGGGACAGGTGACCAAAGAGGGGGGACCATGCTATATGGTGTCACAATGAACAATGGGGAGCTGACCCAGGGATCTGCCACTGTAGGAACTGACTGGGCATAGGTCAGTGTGTTGTGAGCAACTGCACTACACATCATTGTTTTGTACATTCTTTTATCATTATTATTGTTTTCCTTCCCTTTTCTGTCCTGTTAAACAGTCTTCATCTCAACTCATGAATTTTAACTCTTTTTCCAATTGTCTCCTCACTCTACTTAAAGGGTGAGTGAACAGTTAGCTATCTGCTGAGTTGAATCATGTATTAAAATCTCAGAAGAAACAAAATGAAACAAAATAAGGAAACTAAGAAAAACAGATGATTTAATGAACTTAAAGTCTAGTCGGGAAATAATGAAATCAGTTCCACTGAAATAGTATTTAGAATTTCTATTTTAAGTAGAGAACAAGGAAATGAAGGTGACACCATTCACATAAACCAGCATGTTAAATAGGATACCAGTAACAGGGGTGCAGATGAAAAAGAAACTGAAGATTGAAGAGAATTATGTCTACAGAAGATTGTCTCCTTTGCTTCTGTACCTTCCTAGAAATATTGCAATAAGAAGATCACTACACTATCAATTTGTACCTTCATTCACAGTAGCACCAGAAGTACTCAATGATTATGCTGTATGACTATGTGATCAATAATTATAGACCAAATAGCAATGAAAAGATTAGATTGACTGTTATGTAGAAAATTAGTTATTCAGTATAAATTGGTAGACATTCAAGCAATTAAACAATAGCTTCAGATAAGGCTCTTCTGCCATATACATAAATCAATCCAGTAAAATCACCCTAAGTAGAAGTAAATTACTCCGACCTCAGGAAAATTCAAGGTTCTCTTGTTTTCAAATTGCAGCAAAATGCATCTCAACAACAATAGGCATTCATAAACTTGGGAATATAGATGTGGGAAGCAAGCAAAGCCTGATCTCATTTACTGTGATGCATTATCAGGATGCTGCAACTACATGTCAGTCTGACCTCAGTAGCAGGAGGAAATCATCTTCTGTGAGATCACATGAGATGTGCCTGGTGTCCAGAGGATCAGCACAGGTTCATGAAAGGCAGGTCATGCTTAACCAACCTCATCTTCTACAACTGGGTGACCAGACTGGTAGATGAGGAAAAGGCTGTTGATGTAGCCTACTTAGACTTCAGCAAAGCCTTTGACACGGTCTCACAGTATTCTCCTGCGGAAACTGGCTGCCCACGGCCTGGACAGGTATACCCTTCTTTGGTAAGGAAGCGGCTAGAGGGCCATGCCCAACGGGTAGTGAATAATGGAGTTAAGTCCATCTGGTGGCCTGTTACAAGTGGTGTCCCCCAGAAGTCAGTACTGGGCACAACTTGTTTAATATCTTTATTGAAGACCTAGATGAAAGGATTGAGTGTACCCTCAGTAAGTTTGCAGATGACACCAAGTTGGCAGGTAGTGTCGATCTGCCTGAGGGATAGGGAGGCCCTTCAGAGGGATCTAGATAAGCTGGATCGCTGGGCTGAGGTAAATAGGATGAGGTTCAACAAGGCCAAGTGTCGGGTCCTGCACTTTGCCCACAACAACCCCATGCAGCGCTACAGGCTTGAGGATACGTGGCTGGACAACTATGAAGAGGAAAGGGACCTGGGGGTGTTGGCTGATGCTCGGCTGAACATGAGCTGACCATAAGTCCAGTTGGCCAAGAGGGCCAACGGCATTCTGGCCTGCATTAGAAAAAATGTGGCCAGCAGGAGCAGGGAGGTGATCATCCCTCTGTACTCAGCACTGGTGAGGCCGTGCCTTGAGTGCTTTGTTCAGTTTTGGGCCCCTCACTACAAGAAAGACATTGAGGCCCTGGAGTGTGTCCAGAGAAGGGCAACGAAACTGGTGAGGGGTCTGGTGCGCAAGTCTTATGAGGAGCAGCTGAAGGAGATGGCATTGTTTAGTCTGGAGAGGAGGAGGCTCAGAGGAGACCGTATTCCACTCTGCAACTTCCTGAAGGGAGATTGCGGTGAGGAGGAGCTTGGCCTCTTCTCCTAGGCAACAAACAGGTCCTGAGGAAATGAACGCCAGATGTACCAGAGGAGGTTTAGGTTAGACATAAGGAAAAACTTTTTCTCTCAGAGAGTGATCAGGCACTGGAATGGCCTGCCAAGGGAGGTGGTGGAGTTGCCATCTCTGGCAGTGTTCAAGAGGTGTCTGGATGAGGAACTACAAGATAAGGGTTAGTAGCTTGTGGTAGCAATGGTAATGGGAGGATGGTTGGACTAGATGACCTTGTAAGTGCTTTCCAACCTTTTGATTCTATGATTCTATAGTCCTTGATACTAATGACCAGTGACTATAACAGAATAGAACCGAACTAACAAACACCTTGTATTCATCAGGCAAAGGAATTGTTCTGTGGGACTGAAGAATTCAATTTCATCTCAAATACATAAACACACAGATTTTTAAATGTAATGTTACTTAATCCTCAAGCTCAAGGAGGGTGGATTCAATCTCAAAGAGGGTAGATGTAGGTTTGATATAAGGAAAAAATCTTTCATAGTGAGGGTGGTAAGGGTGGTGAGGGTGGCGAGGCAATAGAACAGGTTGTCTAGAGGTGTGATTGATGCCCTGTCCCTGGACAAGTTGAGGCTGGATCAGGCCCTGGACAACCTAATCTTGTTTTGCATGTCCCTGTTAATTGCAGGGGAGTTGGACTCGGCCTTCAGAGGTCCCTTCCAACTCTAAAGATTCTACAATCCTATCAGAATACAAAACGCTTCCATTTAAGGCATTTAGGGAAAGAATGTTCTCTTCATGATGAACAACACTGCCTAACGGATAACTACTGGATTATGCACAGTACTACCACAGTAGAGTAAAATATATGAAGAATGAAAGTCTTTTAAAATTACTGCAATATGACATCAGATTTAAAACAGCCATTTCATTCTCTCTTAAAAAAAAAAATATATATATACATATATATATATTTTGTAATTGCTGGAGGGAACTTCTAACTCTGTGCTGTATGTTTGCTGCCTTAAAAAGATTGTTCAAGTTTTGTTTCAATACTTAATGAGTTCTCTACAATAATTTGAATGAGTGTGTAGAAAGAGACTATTAGCGAAGTATTCTCTCTCTTATGGATGACATGAAAGGGATATGGATAGTTAAATTAACAGTCAATCAGGACTTCTGAGAGAATCTGACTAATGCATTTATTATTGCCTTTACAAACATGCTTTTGCAAATCAAGGAGGTTTTTCTTTGTTGTTTTTGTTTTTCCCCTTCTCTTTTGCAATAGGATTTTAGAGATTTTTTTCATTCATCAAAGCAAAAGATTAGTGATATTTGATGAGAACACTTACACTGTGAAAAGAAATGCAAGTACTTGAGCCTTTTCTTATCTTGTAAGGAAACCTCCTACTTTTGTCGATTTGTTTTTATGCAATTTAAACAGCATATTCTGACAGCTAATTTAAATATACATACATATATATATACACACATAGATATATGTTTATATATATATTTTACATCTTACTTTATATAATGGAACAGTAAATCTGAAGATACTCAGCAGTGACAGCATACACATAGTGAATGAAGAGTGAAAAGTTCTCTCTTCATCTCACTTCTTAATTGAATTTATAAATTAGCTAAAATCAGATTTTAGCTCTTTTTCTGCTCTTCCTGGGTATCTCTATGAGATGTTAACATCTCAAATAACTATGTAGATAAAAAGAGGTTTTGTCAAGTCAGGTATCAAAAAAGTCACCAGGAGAGAAATCATTCAGAACCTTCCACAAGTTGAAAACAATCAAGCTGCTGATACTTCAAATCCCATTACTAATTTACAAAGTGGAGACAAACCCATACTCCAAAGTGCTTTTGAAGAATACTTCTCGATTCATTGCTAACTGACTGGAAGATTGATTACATGCTTTCACTCTGAAAGACACAATCTTTCCACTATTTTTCTTGGTCCCCTTTTTTAAACTTTTTGATAGTGTTAGCCATATATGCCTCCAATTTAAAATGAGAAAAAGCACACACCATTTCCAAATAAAAAAAAAAAAAAACTGAGGCCCCCAGACAGACTTAGATTTTTCTTGTTTATATGTAACACCAAAATCCAGCTTACAGTGTAAATGCCCCAAAGATTTTTCATAAATATTCTCATTATATATATATATATATATATATTAAATGAAGGAAACAAATTTGTCATTAGATCATTATCAGAACACATTTTGCACTGCCTTTAATACAAAATCCTCTGTCTGCATTATGAAGTGTAAGCGAATCTTTAGCCTTTCAAAGCTCTTGCATCAGTTAGCAAACAGCTGTCCTGTGTTTCATGTGGGTAAAAAAGGATGTTTGCAGTTTTTCAAGATTAGTTGAAGTAAAGAAAGTTGTCTTCTGCATAAAGAAGCTAAACTTCTTCCAAATTTGAAACAAACTAGCAAATAAGCCTTTCTTATTTTTTTTCTAAAGAAAACTTGTTGGAGTTATATGTGATAAACCAGATACATAAAAATATTTTGAAAAGGAAAAATTTCAAAATATCTAAACTAAAATATTTTTTTTCTATAACATACAACCAATCTCTTATTTAAAGCAACTAATAATAATGATAAGAATAGGATGGAGAAATCACAAGAAAACAGATCAATTTTCTAATTTCCAGAATGTGTATTTCCCCTACATGTTAGAAAAACAAAAAGATTAAAAAATAAACATTTCCTCAACAAGATTGATTGTGATTTCATGTTTCCTCTAGTTGTGATATGTATTTTGGATAACAAGTTTGTTTTTTTGAGCCAAACAGGTTTTAGCTATGTAAGCTGCTAGAGCGTATAACTTGCTGTGGTATAACACACCAAGTTGCTTCAAGGAGCGGAAAATGCTAACTTCTTTGTCAGTAATTGCAGGCACAGCAAGCTGTTACTAAATCAATGTCTCATCTGGAAAATACGTTTTTCCATTTTTCCCTGCAGTTAATGTAGTGCCAAGAGGCCATTATCCAATGACTTTCTATTAGATCAGCCCAGTATCAGACATCTCTGTACAGCAAATCACTGCTTTCTTAGCTCATCCTCAGAAAAACAAAACAAAACAAACAGACAAAAAACAACTAACCAAATGAAAACAACAACACAGGGCAGAGGGGCTTTCTGTAGGTGTTCAAGATTCACTACAGCCAGTCTCAGAACCTGGTCAGCCTGGTAATCTTAACATTCAATTTGTTTTAAGTAACTTGGACACCTTAAGCTTTCCCCAAATCCTTAACCAGGTAATTAATAATTCCTGTACAAGAAATATTTAACCTCAGAACAGACACTATCTGATTGTCAGATAGCTTTTCTACTTCATGATAGGCTTTCACAAAATATGGCCAATTTCTATCATTTTAAAGATAAACAACAGAGAGGAGCAGCAACCCTTCAACATCGTGTGGCATGTTGATAGCAGACATGATGTTGGGATTCACGTTTTCAAGAACTCGTAAAGGTGAAGTTAAAACAAACAAACAAACAAACAAACAAACAAACAACACCAGCTTGGAGAAGTCACTCTAATAAACTGTAAAAAAAAAAAGCCCCTGTTCCAAATTCAACCATTTTCATTGTTCCCATTTATTTTTCCCTTTTTCAAAATCAGAACAGAGAACCTGGTCAAACAAATAAATAGGAGAGTACAGAATGGGAGCCAGCTGCATAATTGCCACATAATAACCCGTCTGTACCAGAGAAGTCATAAATTTGTCAGAAAATGTTGCTTACTTTTTCAAGTGAACTAGAATTCTATAAAAATTCAACAGCTGATTTTCCATGGACTCCCTGTAGTGAAGAGTCCTAAGATCCTTAGAGGTTTAACTTTCATATTTCCTCAATGGAGCTACAAGATAAGAAGTCCAATATGTCTGACTTAGTGGCTCTACAGAAAAAAAAAACAATTTACAAAACACCAAGCTTGAAGTAGGCTGAACTCCCTGACTTTATGCCAAATATTATTATGGAACAACTCTTATAGTCAACTATTAATATGAAATGAATTCAAAGAAGTCTGTAAAAAAAACTGTCAAAAGAAGAGTATGTATCTTGTAAGAGGCTCTGAGAAACACTTTACCAAGGCAAGAATAGTATTTACATACAAACACTCATACTTGGTAACATACTCTGAAGAATGCATAGAAATTACAATGCATGGCAAACTAAACAGAATAAACTGAAACCTCATACTGTATGCCAACCTACCATTATATTCATTTTATAGTCAAGAAACACTGAAAGTTATTGTTTGTTTGTTTGTTTGTTTGTTTCAATGCGTATATGTTAAGGTTTTTTTGGTCATTTTATCTGTCATGGAACAATAAAACAGAACTTATGATGCCTGAGCTCCATGTGGCTATTCCCAGTTCAAGTACTTGTGCTTTTTCCCGGTCCACACTTGAGCATGACACTTGCTGCCATTACGATATCCCAACCATGGACTGCTGCAGTGCTCAAATTCACAAAATCATAGAATAACTGGTATTGGAAGGGATCGTCTGAGATCATCTGGTGCAAACAGAACCTCTACAGCTCAAGCAGGAACGCTTAGGGCAGCTTGTACATGATCATGTCCAGTTGAGTTTTTAATATTTTAAAGGATGGAAACTCCAAAAACTCTCTGAGCACATTGTACCAGTAGCCACTCACCCAAAAGATTGCTTTGTTGTTGTTGTTTCTTTTGTGTTTTGTGTTTAAATTTTTGTTCTGATTCAATTTCATGACACTGGAGCAATGCACAAAATACATATTTGTTCTGGCTGGGCTGACTGTGCAAAAATTTTAATCAGATACATAGTAAGACACTAATTTCTGAGATATGCATTTCAAATGAAGCAAAATAACAACCCAAAACACGAAGCTTCCTTTCATTCTCAGAAGAAAAATGACTAGGAAATTCTAAATTAACTCTCCCAGCTTAGTAGCTACTTTCTTCTTGCATTCCTCATTTTCTACTATCTGGACCTGTTTAGAATATGAACGGGGTTCATATAATTCTATTTGGTCACTTCTAACATAAAATATCAGTACTGATCTTCCATTAAAAAAATGAGAGGAAAATGAATAATTTCAAACATTACTGGTATAGCACTGATACAAAGATCTTTTTTCATCCTGCTGAGCGCATAACTCAACTGACACAACACGCTCTTTGGACTTCCAGAATTCAGAAAATTCTACTGTACACCTCTGGAAACACATTTATGTTGGGAAGTATCAGTGTACATGACGTTTTCTAATCACAATCTTTACTTATTCGTTCCATTTGCCACATTTGATGTGACTTTTGTCAGCATTTTTTCCAACATTTTCTAATTTAAGATTTCATGATCTTACTTCCTTCAGCTCTGAATGGTCTGTCACTTGCTATACACATCACAAAGAGCTATATAAGTGCGCTTTTGATTTTCAGCTGTCATTTAAGAAGGCTAAGGTCCAATTTTTTTCCCCATTTCTCACCATCTTTCCATAGTCAGTAACTATTCTTTTTTTTTCTACATCATTAAGGTGCTGACCCTGAATGGACCAGTGTGCTTTTAGTGACAAATGGAGACAAAGGACGGTCAGTGTCTCACAGGACAACAAATGGCTTGAAACATAAATAAATTACAATGAAAGAAGGAATATTGATACAGGTAATTATTTTAAAGTCATGCCTCTAACAGTATAAAACTACATTTTAAAAATAAACAGTATGTAAGCTGAAAATTAATTTGCAACAAGATTAATAAGTATATTTATCCCAGTTAACTAACATTATAATGATGATTGAGGGAAAAGATCAAGTCTCATTTTGAAAAAGATGCTTAGCTTAAATAGCTTTGTACCGGTGGGAAAACAGTGCTTTTGCTTGAAAGAGGCCTGGCAAAGAGGATGGTTGCAGCAAAATGGGTAGGTGATTGTCTCAATGAAATGGTCTATACTAGCTTAGAACTCCTGCTAAACAAACAAACAAACAAACAGGTACTTCAAGCACAAATGTACTTTAACACAAACACAGCTGGTTCAACTACAACATGCACACTAGTTAATTATCAACATTTTTACCAAAACGTTATATTGAAATAATCCCTAGGAGACAAACTTGTTGAATATTTGTATACAAAAGACAGAAAGGAATATTTATTATAAATTTTCAATATTTCTTTTCAAAATATTTATGTCTTGGAAAACAACCAATTATGAAAGAATATCAAAGAAGAAGGAAAGGAGGTGCCAGGAGGAGGAAAATTAGGAAAGTCTGTAAGCTGTCCTACTTTTTTCTTTAGAGGAAAGTGAAGGGAAAAAGAGAGAAAACAGTACTGGTTAATGAGGCAGTGTGAGAGGAGACTCCAGGGAGATAGGACACAGTAAAGATGACAAGACACCAAGGCTGTAAGATGTCTATTATCCTGAAGAATCTTTTTATATGAAATATTACCCAGTGGGGATATGAAAAATGACTAGTAAAATAGTTAGAAAAAATAATGAAATCCTACCAGTGATAAAATGTCAGAGGACAAAAAAATGAAGATATGGAGATGTTTGCTTAGCAAGAGGATAAGAAGAGTAAGTTCTGAATAAGATGCTTAACAACAAACAAACAAATAAATAAATAAATAACAACCTTAAAATCTGCGAATAAACAGAGGGACATACTAACTCCATGAGGAGGAAGAATGCTGAAAAATCCAAAATCAACACTATCAAATGAGTACAATATTTGTAAGCCATATGCAAAAAGAAAAAGAATAATGGAGGAAATGCAAATCTGAGGAGAAGACAGCCAAGAAATCAGAACCCATGGAAAAAAAATAATAATCTTTCAGAAAGAAAACAAGAAAGACAACAAAAAACTTCAGATTTGCATGAAGAGAAAAAAATCTAAAAGATTATGAGTTAAGGCTTTTGAATAGGATGGAAGATAAGAGTAAATCCAAACAACTGAAGTTTGCATCATACATCAATTATAAAATATCTGTTTTTTAGGTTTAAATGGATCAGAAAGGGAAGTACCTAAATCTGACTGTATAACTGAAGATCACTAAACTACTAGGCAGCAGGAGTTTACATGCAGTAAATGGAAAGTAATTTTTAATCTTATCCATCAAAATAAAGTAGAGGAAAATGCTGTGGGAAGATCATGAAGATAAATGAGTATTTTAAAGATACGTATTGTGAGCTGCAGTTTAGGATCTTCTGTTTACAAGGGATTAGAAGTAAACACTGCATTTTACTCAGCACTAGACATCATTTTAAAATGGAATTTTGTACAACTGTAAAAGATCTGAATAATTCCTAAGGCTGAGTTTCCTACAAAAGTAGAGGAAAATCAGGGAATTAGACTCTATTGAATGAAGACATTCCAGGGAAGACATGACGGAAAATAAATAAAGCCACTGTATCATTATTATTGATAGAAACAGTAACCTCAAAGGATCTAGTGTCAGACAGAGAAATAATAATATCTAGTTTGGTGTAAAATAAGCTCTGTTATGGAAAAAAACATCTACAATATCTGTACACTATACAAAATGTAAGAAGTTATATACCCTGAATTTCAAACTGATGCAACGTATCTTCATGATGCACAGAAGAATATGTAATTTATTCTCCAATTAATACATATGCACAGAGCAGGAATTGAAAATTACTAGCTGAGTAGTATTAATTATTTAACTATTCTTTTAAATAAATAAATAGAATCACCAAAGCTCAAACTACACTATCAAAACTTCACAAAATATCTATCAATAGTGGGAGAAATCCTTATTTATGCTTTGCCAGAGAAACACTTCATGATTAAATTATACATATTCCTTCCAAATAATTATGAGTGGAAATGAATTTACATGGCAGAAAGCATGAAGTCAGGTAAAGCTAAATAAAGAAACAGTAACAACATCCTTAAACTGCATTTCTTATAAGATCTACAGAGTCTAAATATTGGATATACATACATGCAAAAAGCCATTTCCTCTAAAGATGTTCAAATCTACAGGCCTAGATTAAAATTCCATGTAAATCCCTTGGATTATCCAACTTCCTAACCCAAACCTAGAACTGAATGTATTATTTGCAAAGGTGATACTCCTTTTAAAACATTATTAATAAGTACAATGCTGGATATGATGGTAACACAGATGATACAATTAAAGTAGATATACTTCTGAAATGTGAGGAAAAAAAAACATTAAATTATGGATTTTATGAATTTCAAACGTTTCTTTATATATCAAAGCTGAAGAACATATTTCCTAAGGGAAAGTCTTCCAGCATTCAGCTGATAATCAGTCTACTAAACTCTTCTGATAGTAAAAATAAGACCAAGTAATTTTTAAAATTCTTAATGAGCAGAGAGAATGGTTCTGTAATGAAGAATATTCTTCATTCTCATGCTTCTGGTTAAATGATGTTTTAAGGTCCTTTAGACAAACACCTTCCTTTTTTTTTTTTTTATTTATTTATTTATTTATTTATTTATTATTCCAAAAAGTGCTTGGAACAAATTTGCATTTTCTTTCTAGACTTCAATTACTTCAAGCAATTTAGCACATCTTTTCTGGTAATCAACTCACTACATCATATCTACTTATTTGTCAGAGGCTGAAACACTTTTAAAGTATACGTTCACTACGAGCTTGCAAATATAACAAATATTTATTTCCACACTCCCTTATGGTTCTCTGAACACAATTTTAAAATAATGATTATACAAAGATTCTGTTGAATCCTAAAGGACTTGCACGTGCTATGAATTTACAGTTACAAAAAACCAGAGTAACCTCTTGATTACCATTCCTCACTGTACAGGAGCTTTGAGAACAAAACTGCCATCTCTCACATCCCCACAGCCATCTGTCAGGTAATGTAGCTGACAAAAGGGCTGAGGTGACATTTTTCCTTTTAAGAGGACAAACACAAAGCTCAGGTAACACACAGACATCAACCTGTTTTTTAAAGTTAAGCCAGATTTATGACATGATGAATCTTTGCACTAGTTTCTGCAAGAGGGAATTCCACACAGCAGAATCAACTGCTCTCTCAAAATCTTTGTTAAAATTGTTTTGTTCTTTTTTTTCTTTTTTTTTAGTGTTTCCAATAAAGATCCACTGATATTCAGAGTGTTCTGCTTTGCAGTCTCTATTTTAAAATGCAAATGCATCTGTTAGCTATTTTTACCAGAAGAACATACTGCAGTGCCAAATTTCCCCTCTTAGTACAGGGGGATTCAATACTAATTACTATTCCAAGCTGTACATAAGAGAGAAAATATTGCAGAAGCAATGGAAAGAGATCTGAGGAGCAGCAGTAATCATCTGGCTTCCAAAATAGATTTTGGCAGTATGCAGAGCTTAAACATTTATTACTCAGTCAAGCAACCTAACAGACACTGGAATTTCTGGACTTGCTATTATGTTCATGGTAATTCTGGATATATATCATGTTTGTTAGTCAAGAAATACAGAGTGCAAGTCAGCCAAACAGAATGATGATAATAATCAATGGTAAAATTATTTTTCACACATTTTTTTAATAAAAAAAATTAATGCTAGGCAGTTAAAAAAAAAAAAATAGGAAGGGTAAGATATTTTGCAACCTTATACCTAAAATTATATGTTTTAAAAATCAAAGAACTTTGGAGAGAAATAGCCTGAAAAGTCTCTTTATTGGAGGACCTTTCATTTTCTTGAAACCAGAACCATAGCAAATACTATCATGGCTTTTCACATCTCCTCACAATATTGAAAACATTAACCAAGTAGTAAATTATATCTTTTGAATATTTACAAAAACTTCATAGTACCAGAGATCCAAGTAGGTCAATTCCTGGTTAAAAGAAAACAAACAACAGAATTTAGAAATGTTGGTAGTTGATGGTTCCCGAAGGATTCACTGGGAAATAACCCACAGCAAAATGAAAGGGTCATGGTTAAGGCCCACGTTGTTTTATTGAAACCAAATTAGAAATGCTTGGTTTTGCTTCTTTTTAAAAACACAAACAAAAGAAACTAACCAACCATTTCTGGACTTAATGGAATAAATGAGAAGGAAAAATAAACTCTTCCTTGACCATTTATTCAGCCTGCCAAATGTGAATTACAACTCTCATCTTAAACATAAAAGATGAAGGTTAAATCAAAATTTTGATCTCTATTTGTATATTGAAAAGAATCATATTTGGATGTTCATACTGACCTCAAGAAAGAAAGTCTCCTCTATCTACCACATTCAGGAAACCTGCTATGTCCTTTGCATGCTATATGATGCTGTGATATTTAAATGTATTGATTGTTGAATGTCTTACAAAACTGTTAGTTACTTCAGTGCTATGGTGTATCTGTTTCTCCTGCCTCAGTGTCCGATTTACTTCCTTTATTCACTGGTTGTTATATCAGAAATAATAGAAAATGTTAGCTGAGAAAACTCTTCAACATAAAATACAAGATTCAAAAGTGAAAATGACTATTTGTTCTTTCCAAATTCAGTTGAATAACTAAACAGTCAGTTTTGTACAAGTCAGAAGCTATACCAAATGTTTTAGGCACAAGTTTCTATGCCTTTTGCCTAATGTTTCAAAGTATGAATGAACATTTCTGAAAAGTTAAAAGAATATATTTTTTTAACATTCTCCAAATGTTAATTTCATAAAGCCATCTATTAATCAGCTCTCATAATAATATACCCCAAATAAGAATTAGAATTCAAGTTATTGTTAAATTGTAAATTGTTTTTAATAGCTAATCCTAAATTAATTTCAAATTAGTTTCTTTAATTTCAGAGGTAGAATATTTCAGGAGAACCACTTTCATATTATTTTCTAAAGCTATAATCTCATCTCTAAGTCTACAGCATATAAATGCATTGTGATGTAGAGTACTGCTCTGAGACAAGTAGAGATTTTCATCAAGTTAGAAAAGCTATTTGTTTTTTCTGTATGTGTAAGAATATTAATTCAGGAAGCTATCTGCATGAAAATAGCAACTTAAATTATAATAGTCAGAGTATAAAAAACAATATTGACCTTAGAGTTCTTTGCTTAGTCTTACGTGTCAGTAATTTCCCTCTAGGTTGAAAACTGAAACAGCCAGGCAGGCTGAGTACTTAGGGACTTTGCTGTAACTAACATTTGCTTTACATTTACCGCAAGCCACAGTGGTATGTTCAGTATTTAAAACAGCCTAACACTGAAAATTCATTTAAAGGTCCACTTCACTCATTCACTGCAATTTTTCACAAGTGACTGACTAAAAGAACTTAATTCATTAAAAATAAATAAAGAAAATAGAAGAAACAGGAGTAAAATACTCCAGATTTTCACAAATTGTTGAAGACCATAAAAACAACCATCAAAAATTGTAGTAAAAATCACTGTAGAAAATTCTAAGGAGCAGCAAAATTCTGACTGTGATCTCAATAAAGGGAGGGTAGGAACAAACACTACATATATTTTTACACTGCTAAGCTATATAAGCCATCCTTTAATTCCAAGTCCACGACTGATCTCATAAACTCTGAGAAAGAAAAGTCTTTCTTATGGTGGTAGCTGTCCAAACATATTCCAAGCTAAGTCATCATTTTGAGACATATTATTCTCTATTTATATAAGTACTGTCAATCTGACACTTTAATCAGCTCTTCAATGATAATCAAGTAATGACATGTGGAAATAACATTTATACTCCTTACTTAGAAGTGAAGCAGTAGTAACCACAACAAAGAAAACAGCCCTTGTTTATACGCTTTGCCTAGCACCCTTTCTAAAACTCTAACAAAAGCACTGACTTCTAGTTACAGTGACCATTGTAGCAGATGGTATATTATGTCTCAAAGAGGACAATTTATGGTATCCACTAGGCATATTAACCTTATTTGCTTTGCGCTTTGGATTCCTCTTATTCTGGCCTGCAGTTCACATTTTCTGTTTAGGGATAAGCAGAGTACAGTGTCAATTGGGATTTGGATTTGAAAATGAAACTTTTGTTATTACTAATATGAGATGCATGACAGATTCCTACTGCATGCAATAAAAAGCTGACCTGAGGGTCTGATCTGTTTCCAGTAGCAGACTGATTTTATTTCAAGATTTAAATGGAACTCTTGAAAAAATACAGAATTAAAAGTTCAATTTATGTTCATTTTATTGGGGCTGGCCTCTTTTTGCAGTGAGTCTAAAATCATCAGGTACGGACAAATAAAGGAACTGAAGATGTATTACAAACTACTTTTAAAATGTACAAACAGTTTTCAAAATGTACAATTGTTACCTATTACAGAAGGCACTGAAATCTTTTTCCAAGAAATGACAATTTACCTAAAGGTAAGCAGGAAGAAAAATCACAAAAGTGTTCAAAATAGGTTAATTCTATCTAGGGTCATAAAATTTCAGATTTTCACAAATAATTGTGTATGAAAATAAAATTAATCACTAGTTTTCTAAGTCTTTTGTTGTATGACTACATTCCAGTCACTCACTGTACTTCAGATAACACACTGTAAAATAAAACTGGTGAAAATATTGTAATGTTTGCCACTATAAAATAAAACTGGTGAAAATGTTGTTTTTATTGATGTAAAAACCACACCTTTTTTAGGTGTTCTCAGTTTTTTATCTCTATAAACACCATCAGTAGCTCTTTAAGTAGAAATTACCCTGTTACTACCCTACCCAAAGATTTTGCTGTCACAAAATTACAGATGCTAATTTCTTAGGCATCCTATTTCTTGAATCTAAAATCACCCGTCATTTAGGTATACCATATCTTTGCTAGTTAACATGACAGTCAGACCCAAAGAATCATTCATTTTTCGAGATCCATGTATGTTGCCACCTCTCCCTAGAAATTCACACTTACATCTTTGGATATCATTTCGTTACATACTGAAGTTGCACCTTTCCTATGGAAGCCATAGTCCGTTATCATTTTTTGGTTCAGGATTTGTACAGTAATACTACCTACTATTGTTTTTAATGCACGTAAGCGTTCTTAAAATTACTACCTAAAAGTTAAATTCAATACAACAACAAAATATTTAACATACGTTTGCTAAATTTCACAGTGTTAGAAAAAATTCTCATGATTACAGACAAGTTTCTGTAACAGTTTAAATGCAAAGTATTAATACTTATTAACTAAAAATAAAAGGAAATGGCCTATCTCTTCCCTGTAATCCTGCAATTAAGATGCACTTTGGTTATTAAAGCAAGAATCCCAGAGTAATCCTCTATGTCTGTCATTCAAGCACACCATATAAGAGTATCAGCTATGATTCTCTTCCTCATCATACTGACATTTCCATTTCCTTTTTCTGAATGGTCACCATGAATTTTAAAGAGCTCAGGTCATTTTAAGGTCTCTCTTCTTGATGACATTTCAAAAAAGGAGAAAGGCTGCATACTTAAAATTAGCACCCTAAACAAAGAATTGAAAAATATGGATCATATTTCATTTTTTTCCGCATTTCTTTTTAAAATTATGTAGCCTTTTTGAATGCCAAAATGTCATCTTAGTGGATAATGATTTTTTTCTTTATAATGAACGCAAAAAAAAGAAGTTATTTTCATCCTGAAAGATAATTGAAATACCGAATATTGAAATACTGTTACAATTAAAAAATCCTCAGCAATATGTGTGTATGTTTATTTGTTTATTTAAGCACTATTTAGAAAGAGTTTACTCAAATTCCTTGCTAGTCTTGTTACTACAATTCTGGAAATGCGCTGCATGAAACATAAGTACTAACATAAAACCACAGAACCATAGAATTGCTCAGGTTGGAAAAGACCTCAAAGAACAGGGGCACCCACAGCTATATCGGGGTGCTCAGAGCATGGTCCAGTGTGATGAAACTGTGCTTATGCTGGGAAGTGGTGTCTCACTGGTGACATTGACAGGACGAGGGGAAATGGCCTCAAGTTTCATCAGGGAAGGTTTAGATTGGATATCAGGAAAAACTTCTTTACAGAAAGGGTTGTTAAGCACTGGAATTGGCTGCCCAGGGAGGTGGTTGAATCACCTTCCTTGGATGTGTTTAACAACCGTTTAGATGTGGTGCTCAGGGACATGATTTAGCAGAGGGTTGTTAGAGTTTAGGTAGGATGCACAGGATGTTTGGGATAATTGAAAACGATTTCAGTAATTATCTTTGTTTGAGTCCAAAACAATGTAAAGATCTGTCAAGAGCTCTTTATATTACATGTGTACACAGCACACAGAAAGAACGGATAAGAAAAACAGAATATGTAGGAGTTTTGATTCATCTCCAGTTCCATCTTGGAAATTCAGATCCTTCCACAATGGTCTTTAATTGTGGCTTCAACTAATTCATAAGATGAATTATATACCTAATAGAACAAATATTTGAAGCATCATTAAAGGAACCAAAAAAAAAAAAAAAAAAAAAAAAAAAAGGCAATCTCAATATCTGTACTAAAAATAGAAATGAAAAACTGATTTGTAATTTATTTGCTTTGAAGAATGGGACACAAGTTATAATTTTATTACAGTAAAATCAGTTTGTGCACGTGCTACTTACAGCCTTCATAAATATCTGTTGGTATGTGAACTGCTGCATGTTGGTAAGACGTTTGCCTTCGGAAAACAGGATCTTCTTCAAATACTGGTCTGATTCTCTGGCTGCCAGATTCAGTGTCATTCTTTTCAGGCTTTTTAAAAGAAGACATGTAGAGTACAAAATATTACAAAGTATGCCAAAACGATTCTTCCTTTTACATAAAAGACTCACAGACTTTATAGCTAAAATTTTGCATTATGCTATAAAAACACTTATTTGTTCCAGGTCTAAACATACTTGTATATAATTCAATATGAATTACAGGTTTCCAACAGAACTCAGAAACTAAAAGCTTCAAAAGGAAGAGTCTAGCATCTTACATAGCCAATTGCATGATGGCAACTATGTTATCTGTTTATTACTTGTAATAATTTGTACTGAATTTTAAATATAAATATTGCTTATTTGGATTTTTTTAATAACTTTATAAATCATATACCTTAAAATATGATACCAGTAATATTTGACTCATAAATACTTTTTTGTGAAACAGTGATGCATGTGTAAGACAGAGAAAGGAAATTAAGCTTTTTCATAAGTTCTGACTGTCACAGTGTTTGTTTATTGGTTTATGTAACAAGTAAGTCTTGATGAAGACTACAGCTGCCTGTCTGCTCACTAGTAATACCTGCCTCCCTGCCTCAGTTCTCTATCCTCTCTTACCCGCACCACTGCTTCTTATTTCCTTTCAATCCACTCAGACATTTAACTTGGATTTAAAAAAAAAAAAAATGTAAAGCAGAGCTTTGTTTGTTTTTGAAAACAAAACTGCATGAAGCATGAAAACCAAGAAGGGAGTGAAGATTGAAAGGGAGCTGCTGATGTCTTCACTGGGCTCAGCTGCAGATGGAACAGGAGTCTCCATGGCATACACAGATTGCCACTTTAATTAATAATGAATCAACTAGGATGCTAAATGATTACTTAGGCCAGCAATTATAAGCAATTATATGGATATTCTTAATACTACAGAGTCATCAGTTTTTTTAAATGCATTATAGTTGAAAAACATTGCTGAAAAAGAAGCATCTGTCTGATGATTCAGGCACACCATGCACTGAAGCTATACTCTATATACTTCCAATATGTCTATTATCCCTTATCAATATATAGACAGCTGAATTTCAATTCAACTGCAAAGCATCCTCATTAAAGCTAAGTTTCCTTATCTGTTTCACCATAGGATCATGGAAAGATACACAAGTTCAAATGCCTGAAATAAGCAGCTTTATCATGTAGATTGTGAAGAAATAGTTTGTTCTGGAAACATAAAGGGTACAACTTGTCCAAAAACTGAAATCTACTGATTTCAGTAACACAGCAGTTTATGTATTAGCTCATTGCCCCAGGCTGCTTTCATAGTCCATGAAGAGAAATTGGCACTTTTGGAGCAAAATTCATCTCATCTCATCTTAATTAGATACCTGTTTTCCAATGAGATGAATCAAGAAAGAAGCCTCTCCTCCCTTCCATCGACTCCAATAGCTGTAGGCCAGCTAGTCTAGATGTAGATGCCTGCAACATAGCTGTCTAGAATTAAGGGAAATGCATCTCACAATGCAACTTGTTTACACTTTTGGAAAAAATGAAGTTGGGCATGAATTCTACTTCTTTTTTGTTTTGTTTTTGTTTGTTTGTTTGTTTGTTTTTAATGTAGTATACCTATCATATCTTATGCTAAGTCGTTAAGCTTGCTGTTTATCCCTTAATCCAACTCTGATGGATGAGACAGAAGGAAAGACACAATTCTTAATACTCAAGGTGAAGGATGATACTTTTAATTCATGCAAATCTATTACCAGATAAAGTATAAGTCTATAATAACATTAAATAATCTAAATTGATACAACGTGCTAATTACTTAGAATTACTCTCGTTGGAAAATCTAAGGCCAGATGAAAGATACTGTTTATTTTCCTGTGCATTTTCACTAAAAGTGCCACTAGACACATCTATTTTCCACTGGGAGATTTGGAGGTTGTCAGAGGAGTTCTAACTATCATGCTTCTTCATTTCAATTCTTCTCAGAGAGTCATGTTTAAGGTTTGGAAAATGAATTAGAAAAATGAGAAATACTTGTACAATAGAATCTAAAAAGTCTCAATCCAGTATGCCACTTGCTTAACTCTGCCAGAGGTAACATCACTACATCGTACTTTGAAGTAAATTGGAGCTGGTATCATTAATAGTTTATGTATTCTATAATTTGAAATGACACAGAATTTTGATGACTTCAGACAAAATATTTGAGTCCAATTTTGTTTGTTTGTTTGTTTTTCCTTTTTATTCCATAGTCTTTCTCTCTCTCTATCCATCTATCTATCCGTTTCCAAGAACTGGGATACTATGCAACATGAAGCAAATTCTGGAGTTCTTTTCACAAGTTATCTTTTTATTTCGTGCTGCTCAAGCTAATGAGTGTGTCTAACCCTGCAAATCCAGTCTCAACAGTTGATCTTATGTATGAAAAGAATTCCCTTCCTGTCTGCAAATCATTCAATTAAAAAAATGAACACTTTCTGAAATGAGTACCAACAACTACAATCTCCTGTTGCTTTCACAGAACATTTCAGGAAAAGAAAAAAAGAAAACAAACAAACAAACAAACAAAAAACCCGAAGCCATTATTATTACAATAAAATATCCACAAAAAGTGGATGTCATAAGAATTTTTCCAACAAATTTTCTATAATAGACACTTGAGAGGGCAAGAGTACAGTAAGCTAGAAAGTGGGTAAACCATCAGATCTGTACTACAGGGTGTTGCGTAGAGATTCTGACACTCAAGTATACATTTTTAAATTAGAGTTCCTAAAGCCTTTGAACATTAACTTTTATCAGTGCTCAGTGCCATTCTGAGTAACAGAATAAAACTGAGTTGAGCCTTCAGTTTCTCCCATAACTCATGTTCTATGGAAGAAACTTCGAGTCTACTACCAACATTTGACTGAACTTCAATGAAACGGAAAGGTTTTACATAATCCACCAGAACATCTTAAATATTCAAATACAAAGTCTATTTTCCACACTTGTAATGGTACACAGAATTGAAGGGGTTGGAAGGGATCTCTAGACATAATCAAGACCAAATCGACTGCTAATGCAGGTACCCTACAATAGGTCTCATAGGTAGGTGTCCAGACAGGTCCTGAATATCTCCATAGAAGGAGACTCCACAACCTCTCTGGGCAACCTGTTCCAGTGCTCTGTCACCCTTCCTGTAAAGAAGGGTGATTATATGAAACTCATATTAAAGTTTTAGGTTCTCATGATTATATGAAACTTATATTAAAGTTTTAGGTCATTGCTCCTTGTCCTTTCGTTACACACCACCAAGAAGAGCCTGACCTTATCCATTTGCCACACACCTCCAGTTAGATATTTACAAACATTAGTCAGATCCCGCTCATTCTTCTTTTCCCCAGGCTGAACAGACCAAGCTTACTCAGCCTTTCCTCATATTGGAGATGTTCCAGGCCCTTTGTCATTATTGTGGCCCTCCACTGGACTCTTTCTAGGAGATCCCTGTCTTTTCTGAACTGTGTCACAAAGCTGGACACAACAGGCTAGCATTGGAAGCATTACGGGCAAATTGGTGCTGGCCTCAATACACCACTTCTTGACCAGCAGCTCTAATGCAAGACCTTACACATCCACTGGTTTGTAGTGGATTCTTTTACAGAAAGGTACTTAGTTTTCAGTTGGCAACTACATGAGTTACAAGTAAGCTACATCTCCATTAGGGGAGTTAAAAAAAAAAAAAAAAAAAAGGGAAAGATGAAAAAGGAAAACACCAGTGTTATTAATTATTTAAGTTTGGTATTTCTATGAAAAGTTTGACTGGATTGCTGCAGTGGTTGTTAAATTCTTAATAACCTCCTAAACTTTGCTTTCAGGAAAACAGTGAAACACCTATTTTGAAGGAATATAATCTACTGTATGAATGTAATTAAAATTCAACTCCAACCAATTTGTCTCTCAAGTCAGGAACTGAAACATAATCAATATTGGCACAGAAAAATCCCACATGAGATGGTGGCTGAAGATTAATTTTCTATCTATTTAAACCTGGTCTTCACTTATTGAATTACATTGTTACCTACCACTGACAGTCAGCAAAATATCTTAATGATTTCCCTGCAATGAATCTCCAGACTCATTTCTCTGTCCCTTGTGAGGAAGATAAAATCCATTTCTTCTTCAGTTCACATTTGTGCCAGTTTACGGCTTTTTTTTTTTTTTTTTTTCCAATTAATATTTTTTTCATGTGTCTGCACTATCAGAATAAAGGGAAATTGATGTCACTGGTAAGATCTGAGTAAAGTGGATTCTTCTGTAGGTGTTTTTTTGTGATCTTGCCTAAATCTCTTATGGCATGACTTAAAATAAACTAGAGGTTACTTGCCATTTAGAGGGACATTTATACTATAATTTCATAAACCAAAACATACTTGAAATAATGCAACTGCTCTCTCAAGGGCTTTGTGAACTTAAACTAAGTTATGTTCACATAGTAACTAGAAGCTTTATGCCAAGAAGTACCATTGAAAAGCAAACTATCATTAAATGAGAATGAAACAAAACAGCTTGTAAAACTCAGACACAGTTTAATTCCCATTTCACTGCAATTAAACGTATCCTGATGCCTTTTCACAGCACTGAGTTATTTTTTTATCATCATCATAGCAATAGGAAGATGACTAGACTTTATATCTATACTATTTTATTTTCTTTTAGTTGAAAAGCATTGATTCACTATGAACTGAACAGATCAGGAACAGAAACCTGAAGATAGAACAGGTATTGGGATGAAGGACTGAAAATCTCAAGTCACATAAATATTTTAGCAATTAACAGATATAATCTTAAAGAGACCTATGCAATCATATTTTCTCTTCTAAAACTGACATAATATTTTAGTGAGTTGGAATTATGTGTTGAAACATTGATTTCTTATTTGATAATCAAAACATAATTGAAAGTTTTGTTTTTTTCTCATTGTTACAGATTACAGCTGACCTTCACCTCAAAGCTAAATAGAGACTACGGTAGTGACATCAACATGTAAAAATCCACATATTCCATCTCCAA